AGCCCGGTTCACCCCCTGGGGTACCCGCAACCGCAGGTGTGGTGCTGAAGGAGCCGCCCGGAAGCAGGCGAGGCCCGTAGCGGTCTTCTGCCGCCTCTGACCGGCCCTCCCTCCTTCCTCTTTCCCGCTCCGGTCTCAGAGGCCGTATGTTTGCCCTTACGACGGCTGCGGTAAAGGCTTCACCAGAGACTTCCACCGCGCTCGACACATTCTTACGCACACCGGGGAAAAGCCGTTCGAGTAAGGCCGCATTTTTACATCTTAAACCGGATTACGCTTGTCCTTACGGAAGGGGAGTTGAAACTGATGTGTGGGTAGTGCAGTGCGCACACCTAGCTCTGGTACTGTGAGTGCTGCTTAACAGTGCGCACACAGGGTGAGATCTGTGGGAAATAGCAGCCTAAAGCCTCCTATCTGGCCATGATCCATAATGGGAATGGGCAGATCTCTCCCAAGAATACAGAATTCAAAGAAGGAAGGGCAGTTATTTCCTATTACTAAGCTTTTAATACCTGCATGTCATGCATTAGGAGATAGGAATTCCTGCATGCTTTATTAACAATCTCTTCTAATGTATTTTCCTGTGGCTTTTGATTGTAACTTAGCTTGTCTTTTTGTGTTGTTAAGGCAAATTTTTATGTTTGGGTTGACTTTCAGTCATTCTCTGTGTATTCTTGTCCAGCAATTTCTGTACCTGCCTATGAAGCAAATCACTGTTTGGGAGTGATAATAATGTAGTTCATTTGTAGGTGCACAGCTGATGGCTGCAATGAGAAATTCCGAACAAAATCAAACTTAAAGAAGCACATTGAGCGCAAGCATCAGAATCAGAAAAGGCAATATGTGGTGAGTAATTACCTTTGATACCACAAAGTGGAGACTGAACAAGCTCCTTTTTGTGTATCTATCTTCAGCTTGTTCTTGTGCAGTACTTGGATGAGTTCAAATACTGTGATTGGGATTTCAGCAAGCACGTGTGGACTGGGCTTTTGTTGTTTGGTCTCTAATGATAACTTAATTTCCTAAATAGTGCGACTTTGAAGGCTGTAACAAGTCTTTCAGGAAGCATCAACAACTTAAAGTTCATCAGTGTTACCACACCAATGACCCTCCCTTCAAGTAGGTGGATAATTTTAATAATGAACTTTAACAATTCCATAAACGCTGTAGATGAAAACAGGAGCCTTTTCTCAACCTTTTCCTTAATGTAGCATTTAAAAAAAGAAAAAAACCCAAAAGTGGAATGGATTTGTAGTTGTGGCTGCAAGTACATTTCTTGTGCAAGTTCTTTGCTCAGTAGTCTGTGTTCCTTGGTGCTCTGCAACTTAGCGTTCCAGATGTTTTCTATGGGTTTATTACAGGTTCACAGGAAAAATAACAAAAAGACCCCCAGTTTCTAGTTCAAACAGTCTGAAATACAAGCTTAAGAGCTTGCAGGGTAATGAAAAATGCAGCTACCTCTGTTTTCCAGTAAAAAAGAGTGATGTGGCTAACACTCAAGTGAGTAGTACCTTAAAAAAGGTGAGAGGCTTGGACACCAATCTGAGCAGCTGTGAATCTATGATTCCATTCTTTACAGGACACATCCGTATAGATCTGATGAAAGCAAAGTTTAGTCTTGTGTTTCTTACAGGTGGAACACACTTAACAGGAGTGTTCCACTTAAGTGCACTAGTATGGCTGTGTGACAGGCACAAAAATGCTGTTGGTGTTCTGCTGCCGCTTTGCTAGATCTGTACAAATCACTTAATCCCTTCATTTTCTATTATAATAAAGGGAAGCTTGGATTACTTTGTCCACTTTAATTGTTCTTGACTTGAAGAACAAAAAATATGTGGATGCAGTGAAAGAAATTAAACCAGTGTATTTTATACCTAGATGTAATAATGAAGGATGTGGAAAGTGCTTTTCTACCCCAAGTCATCTAAAGCGGCACGAAAAGATACATGAAGGTAATACAGTTTTTCTTCTTGCTTTAGTTACATTTTAGCAAAGGAAAAAGGTGTTCTTCCAGTCCATAGAGTAGGCAGGGAAGTACAGCAGACATGAAAGTGTTCTGGGACTAGCAATCCAGTCAGACAAAACAAGAACATCCGGTTTGAATAGTCAGGTGGGATACAGTTGCAAGGCGTTGCAGTGTTCAGTTAGAGTGTACTTGTGGCAGGCTGAACAGAGCTTGGGATGCCTTCCGTAATTTATTTTCCTAATGTGCCTCCTTGTCAATAATCCATCTGCTGGAGATGGGCTAATGGTTAAGGCACTATCCTAGACCTCCAGAGGTTAGGATCAGTTGCCAGTTCTGCAGTAGGTTTCCTATGGAGCCTTGGAAAAACCATGTAGACTTGCATTGTTTGAAGTTATTAATGTACCTATGTGAAAGGTATTTAAGTGGAATTGTCAGGAGCTGGTCATGTATGTTTGAGCTAATCCTGCTACACTCCTGTCCATTCTTTCGGTATGATTGACAGCTAACCTGTTTCCCGGTGCTAGAAATAAACCAACAAACCCAGGAGACTAGGAAGAGTATGCAAAAAGCTGGGATTTGTATTGTGTTCCTTTCTTAAGACAGGGACTTTTTCATAGTTGTTTGATTTTTCCAGTCCTGGGATTTAAATAGTATTGACTTTCTGTGGTTCATTTAAAAAACATTCTGTCTGCCTGATAGAATGGTAGAGTTTCTTTAGACTGGAATATTACTGTATGGTCAAGAATGTGGTTTAATATGTAATATACATATTTGAATAGTAATAATATTACAGTTATTTTAATCTATTTGAGTGAAAGTGAATGGCTGGTGAGGAAATAGTTTTACTGAAGCAAGAAGAGATTTTCATAAAATCATTTGGGTTGGAAAGGACCTCTGGGGGTCTGGAGGTCATCTGGTCCAACTCCCTGCTCAAGGTGGGGTCAGTTAGACCAGGTTGCTGAGGACTGCAGCCAGTCAAGTTTTGAATGGTTCTCGGGGTAGGGATTCCACAGCCTCTCCGGACAACTTGTGTGAGTGATACACGGTTTCTTCCTCAAAACTGTTAGTATGTTCTCGTGTTCTAATTTGTGGGGGTTGCAGGATGGGAGGAGGAATGCTGGCCTTTAATTTCCAAATGCTAGAAGTAGAGTTCCCCCTTGAAAAATTGGACTCTGTTTGCAGAACCTTTGTGATTGTAAACATCTGTCCTGTCCAACAGGCTATGCATGCAAGAAAGAAAACTGCTCATATACTGGAAAAACTTGGTCAGAGCTTCTGAAACATAATAAAGAAAGTCATGCAGGTAAACTCCAAATGATTTAGTAAACCAAACTGAACTTTTGATACAAACAGGAAACAAACTGCTGATTTGAGGGGTTAGTGCTGAACTCGTTTCATCAACTTGTCACTGTGTCCAGACAAACTTGTTTATTAACACTTCATTGGTAAAATGGTGTTGCTCTGGCTAGATGTTTCACTGATCGAAATGCTGCTCAGTGTACTAACTTTGTTTTGTGATCAAGTTAATGAGAACTTGTATAATGTAGGATTTTGGATCTGGATAATTCATACTGCATTATTCTCTTCCAATCTGAATTCCTTGCATTTTGTGTGGATTTTAGCACTGTTCTAGAGGACTACTAAGGTTTGATTCTGAGCTTCTGTAAGAAGCTATTAATTTATGCTTTGCCTGTTTCTCTCCCACTCAGACACAATTGTTTGCAGTGAGTGTAACAAAATTCTTAAAAGGAAAGATTACCTCAAGCAGCATCAAAAAATACATGCTGCCGAGAGGGAGGTCTGCAGATGCCCAAAAGAAGGATGTGGGAGAACTTATACAACTGTATTTAACCTTCAAAGCCACATTCTCTCTTTTCATGAGGAGAAAAAGCCTTTCTCTTGTGATTATCCAGGCTGTGGAAGAACATTTGCGATGAAGGTATGTATTTTTTACACTGTTCTAGTCTGGATCACATCATCTGAAATGATAAACCTGACTTTTTTTCCTGTTCTTTATAACTGTAGCAGAGCCTAGCAAGGCATGCAGTTGTACACGATCCTGAGAAGAAAAAGCTCAACCTGAAAGTAAGTTGTACTCTTGAAAAAAGTACTCTCAACCATACCCTGTCACTTCAGAGGAGAGTAAACATTATGTGTTTCAGAATATGACTTCAAGAAAGAAAGCAGGCCAGCTATCTACTTAATTTGGGAGATTCTTAATTCCAAAGCTCCTTTAAATGATGTGGTGCTGGCCTATTCATTGATTTCTTCTTTCCCCATTGCATTAGTAGACTTTGTTCCTTAGATATGTCAAGTTGCTAATTGTGCATTTATTTCTGCCAGACAAAGCGTTCTCATCCTAAGAGGAGCTTAGCCTCTCGTCTGAGTGGCTACATTCCTCCTAAAACACAGCCAGGGAAGGATGCTGTTGTGACACAAAGCAAGACAATGGATAAGCCCACGGAAAGTGAAATACCAACTGTTGAAATTCTGACTCTGCAGTAAAGGCGGACTGAGATGACATTCTTCATGGAATAATCTGTAAAGTTCAACAATAATTTTATTAAATTTACAGGGTTGTGTTTGATTTCAAATAAGAGATTGTTTATATCTTTTTATAAAGTCACTGATGCAACTCATTTGACTTCTGATCTTCATCTTTCTTTTCTGTACTGTTTTTCTGTTTTTCCATCTTCTGGTACACTTTCAGCTCTTTGTCAGACATGTGTCTCAAAATACAGGTACTCACTCCTTCTTTAGTAACTTTTGGCTTGGAAACGTAAGTGGCTTTATCAGACACAGTCTCTAAAATCTGATCAAAAAGCGTGAACTAAAATGAAGGAGAAAAACAGGATTAAGTGCACAAACAGTTAGAAAAATATTTCAGGCTGTCTGTAATGAGACGATCTCCTGCTTGTGGTTAAGCTATTGGCTGAAATGAGCTAGTTGCCAATCATGGTTTGAGCAGTTCAACTTGTCCTTTCTTAATTTGTTCTTTACTCGTTAGCAGGTTTAGGAAGGTTACCAGAGGAATTAAGCCATTTCCTAACACTTAGGCTGAATTCCTGACTCAACCTGTTTTTGCTGTTTGAAGATGTTCATGAAAGTGGACTGCACCTGACTCCTCCCTCCTCTCCTCTTCTGCGAGATTTGGGCATATTATGGGGCTTTCCTCTTAAGGGGCAGTATTGTTCTAAGGTCAGCAGAACCCAGTAGTATTGAACTTGCTGATACAATGCATTCATATAAGTAAGCTGAACTCTTAAGCTCGTAATTAAGCTTTTAAATTTAAGGACATAAATCTGGATATCCAATTCTTCCTCATATTACCCTTTCCCTGTGAATTCTACTTCTATGAAAAGTTCTTGTTCCTTTTGGATGAATTGATATCACAATTTTCGTCCAGAAATTTAATAAAGATCATCAGGGAAACCTAATTCACTGCATATATTAAAAGGAAAAAAAGAAAACAAATTCTTACATGGAATCTTTACAAAATAGCTGCTTGTGCAAATGACAGTGAAGACAAGTCTCGAGGCCCTGCAGTTACACTAGTGAGTAAGTTGCCACCAGCTCCCCAGCTTATTTATAGATGTTTACTTTGCCAGTCTTGGAACACCATCCCAGTAGTTTTTCACACAGCAGTGGACAACTAACATTAGCCACCATTGCACAAATGCATCTTCAGAACAACACTTATATTAGTGAAATAATCCAGCAAAAACACCAGCAGAATTCTTTTAAACCTTACTGTTAAACTTTTCAGTGAGTGAGCTGGCTTAAGGCATTGACAGGGAAATTTCACCAGCACAATTAATAAGGTGGGGCTACAAAGGTGTAGGAACTGCTTAGATTCTGCTCTCAAAGCCAGTATTGTAACTGTATTCTTAAAGCATGGTGTTTGAATTGTCTCTATGGGACTACTTTCCTAGAACTGCAGTGTTTGAACAGAAGCAGCTGATGGTCGGGCAACCATCCCTTTAATGGGACCTAGACCTTCACTTATTTTTAGCAGTACATGATGTATTAAAACCCCATGGCAGTACTGAATAGGGGAAATTAATTCAAGTACAGCTGTGTAATGAAACTGGTTGGTCCAGCTTTCAGGAGTGCACTTACCATGTCTGTATTGCTATCTTTCGCTTGCCGGATGGTAATTTTAACATGGTGTTTCTTTTCAATCCACTGGGCTATCTGTTTAGTCTTGGTGCCCAAGTCGTTCTTGGCAATAGTTGAAGAAAAGGATAACTCCTTCTGAACCATCCCTGTTTAAAACAGAACTAAAACTGTGTTGGTTTAACATCTGACAAACCTTTATTAGTTGCTGTCTTTCAGCAGCTTATGGTGCTTTGTCTGCTTAACTCCCCTGCCCTGTGCTGCTTTCTCATACTCAGAGCACCTAAATTTCATTGTCTCAGCAGGCACGACTCCCACCTTGGAAGGTGGCTACTTGATATCTTGCACTCATTGTGTAACTGGGAGACTGAGTGCATGTTTGAAGCACACAAGGAAGTCTCTTCAGGGTCAGAAGGCTTAGAGTATTTTCTATTTTAATTACAGTTTTGTTCATACCACCCACAATGCAGGTCTAACATAAACAGCTAAGTGCTGAATCTGGGTTTAAAGACCGTATGCAAACTGCTACATTCTGCACATAGTACAGCTGAATGTAAAAGCTCTTAAAGTTAGAGAGCTCTTAATGTGAAACCTGTTTTCTTGAATGGTGAAGCACAATATTCAACTGAAAGTATGATGCCTTGAATTACATTTGAACAATTTGTGCTCTCTTCCTCCTTAAAGATTTCTCTAAAGTAGTTACCATTTGAATAATCTTTTTGTAGCTTCTTGAACAGAAAAAGTCACTACCAGGATAGTGCTCTCCTCTAGAATCAGAACTCTACCCACAGCACAGATACTTTTGTCAGCCTGAGGATAGGAGAAGAGGGTACAAGGTCAGATGCCTTTTCTAAAACCCACTTGCCAAACTCAGTTTATTAAACTGCTGGAGCAGGCTGACCTAAATGCTGAAAAGCGTTCGATATAAAAGCTGTTCTCTTTCTCTGTACAAGAAAGGGTTCCAGACTTTGCCTTCCTAGC